TATATGAAACCACAAGCATTTATATATTTGTAAAATGTGTGCACATGGTATTTTATCCAGCATAGGCAAGGGTCAATATTATTAACTGTATTCAATAGCAAATTATTCTTGATAGGAGTAAAACTTATTTTTCACTTAAATGGGCTTTAAGTAGACATTATGATGAATGCTTTGACCAAAGGACTGTTAGAATAACATCTGAGTGCTCACATCAGGTGAATGCCTCTTCTACATTTATACTAGGTAAGAACTGAGTCTCATAGGAGCACATGGTCAGTAGACAGCATGGGCTGTGCAGTGGTTTGCAGATCATTGTTCTGTCCTCATTGCCAAAAGAAAGACCATTTGACTAAATACAGATTGCCAAAATGCATAATGAAAAAAAAAACACCAGAAATAAAATAAATCTTTGGTACGTGCTATGTAATTAGTTGCTGAAAAAAATAACCTAACCAAGACAGGAACTATTTGTTGGTTATTGCAAGAAAAAGACTGTTTCACAATATCAATTTAGGGCTAACTTTCCATTTCAGTTCTCATTGGATGCTAAATTTTTGTTTTTCTGCTAATTAACACTCTTTTCTAAGAAACTAAAGGATGAGAGATGAAATTTGAGCCAGTCAGCTTAGTTGTTTTCCTAACAGTCCTGGTTTAATGTTTGCTAAAGGATAGGAAAATAATAACTAGATGAGAATGTTTGTTAGTGAAGTTCATTTTCCTATGCTGCCTTGATTTTAAGATAATGAGAAGTAAATTATTAAAAATCAGAGATGAACAGAAATTAAGAGAAAGTATATAAAAATCTGCAAATCTACCTCATAAACTCAATATTTTTAATCCTGTACTTGAAGTGTCTGTCATGCTAAATATGCATACATATCATAAATTACCCTATTTGGAATTTTCAAATACTGGTAATTAAATGATAAATAGCTATGTTATTAAATATTTCAGTTGAGGTAACAGTTCACAGATGTTTCCAAACCTATTATACAGACATTTATCAATTTATTTGACCATCTTATTGCATATTTTTATATTAATAATGGTAAACATTCACTATTATACAAATATAATTTTATAATAAAGATGAGCATGTGGGACTATTGGTATTCAAGTAATTGAGTTTTAGAAATTACATTTTCTTTTCTTTTCTTTTTTCTTTTTTTGGTCTTTTTGAGACAGTCTCTCTGTAGCCCCAGCTGTCCTGGATTCACCATGGAGACCAGGCTGGCCTTGAACTCACAGAGATCCACCTGCCTCTAAATACCCATTTTATGATTGTATAAAACGGGAAGGACATGCTTCTGAATTTTGACCTGTATTACCAGAATGCTTTCCAAATACTTATAATTATCTGGGTAGTACTGCTTGTGTGTTACTGTTTCCACCCTAACCACTGAAAATTAGTGTCTGTCAGTTGGAAAGGTAAAATGTACTTCATGCTTCCACATGTATTTTAACATTAACATTAGTGAATTTAACATTAAAATTAATTCATGGAATAATTTAGTTTCTTCTTATGTTAGAGCCTACCTTAATTCATGTATTGTTTTGTTTTGGTTTGTTGAAGCAGGTCTCTCTATAGTCCCAGTGGGCCTGCAACTCCCTATGCAGAACAGACTGGCCTTGATCTCATAGACATCTGTCTGCCTCTGCCTCCCAAGTGCTGAAACTAAAGTCATATACCATCACTCCCAGTCTGGTTTCTGTAATATTTTATAATAGTAATTATAGTATACCTAGCCTTAACTTCCCTTTAATTAATATGTTGTTTTATGATACATTGCAATTACATTTTCAGTGAGAAATCATCATTCATTGATGAGGTCTTTGTTTTTTTTTTTGGTTTTGTCTTTGAAATGAGGTAGTGCTGTATAGCCCAGACTGGCCTTGAACTCACAACTCTCCTGTATTAGGCTCTTGCAACTGAGGTTATAGGCATGCTCCATTGTACCTGGCTTAGAGTGTGTGGGAGTAATAATGCAGCATGTGTTCTGTTATCTGCAAGGAAAGGGAGGTGACATTTAATGCTTCAGTGGTCTCCTGTACTATTATCTTTATAATAAGCACCCTATAAAGTTATATTTAAATCAACGTAAAATGAAAATATACTGCTAGATTCACTTAAATATGCATAATCCTATTATAGAATATACTAGACATTTAAACTCACACATAGCATTTATCAGGATTTATAATCTACTTCCTTCTGTGTTATTCTAGAATGATCTTCACAGAGCCATTCAACGTACACAGTCTGCAATGTTTAATCAAGTGTTGATTTTGATATCTACATTACTATGCCTTATCTTCACCTGGTAAGACCCTTGTTATCAGCTGTTTTATTGTTTCATTTACTTGTAATTTACATGGAAAATGATATTGTAAACCATTTTCATTAATATTTGACTAATATAAAGGCATATTCACCATAATGTATAAGACTTCAATTTCAGAAATAAAGTAAAATCCTCTTCAGCCTTACTGACAAAACAAGAAGCACACATCTCATCTGCCTTGATGTTACTCTGACATTTTTTCAAGACTGTCAACAGCCAAGTATAGAATTGATCCTGCATGTCAGGGTTGTCAGGCACCCATTTTTCCTTGAAATCACTGACATAAAAGTATCCTCATCTCTGTATTCTTCAAAGCAGAGACCATATTGAGGAAACTGTCATTATCCATGACAGTCTCATCCTCTGCCTCCTCTATGGGGTGTTTTAGTGTGCAATCAGGTGGAAAGCAATTGCCAGGCAAGACCTGGTACTTTGCTTTAGTAATTGGATTCATGCAGATCTTTTTCATGAAAAAAAAATATCTAGAATCTTGTCTGTTTTGCAGGAGATGTAGATGCTATGTGTAAGTCATCTGTAACTTTGTCCCTGTTTTAAAAACTAATTTGGGAAGTAGGAACAAACTACACATGTGCTTGGATATCTGCTAGATGCAAATACTGTGAATATTATGTTATTGATTTTAATCACATGTATATTAATATGTTTTTAAACTATAATATCTAGAATGGAGAGACTGATTTATTAGTGTATTCTCCAGAATGACAAAGCTTTCCTAGATCATGGGTATCTTAACAAAATAATATAAATTTTATTTGAACTCACCATTAAAAGTGCTATTATTGGGCTGCAGAGATGCTCAGTGGTTAAGAGCACTGGCTGTTCTTACAGAGGACCCGGGTTCTGTTCCCAGCACCCACATGGAAGCTAACAACTGTCCATAACTCCAGTTCCAGGGGATCTGACTCCTTCTTCTGACCTCTGTGGGTACTGCACGACATGGGTACACTTACGTATGTTCAGGCAATACACTCATACACATAAAGAATAAATTTAAAAAGTGCTGTTAACTACCAAAAAGTCTGTAAAATGATGATGATCATAATATGATTTGTATGTTATTTTAGTGAAGAATTGTACAGTACACAGTAGAAAGTGCAAGTACACAGCTGCTTAACCAAATAACCATGTTATTGCAGCAGGAATATTTAGTAGTCTGTCCAGGATTGCAACACTACCTTGATAGTATTCAGCACTAAATTCCTTATATCTTGTCGTCTGCCAATTAAAAAGAAACAGTTTTAATCTTACAGTTCAAGGGGAGCATTTTATTCTTGTATTACACCCTAACTCTAGCATTTAGGTATTTTTATTTATAATTTAGTCTATTTATATAGCAACACATAGCTCATGGGGGACTTGCAAAAAATATTCTGTTTGACGAACAGTATATCCAGATAAATATTATATAAAAAATAAACAATTAAAAAGCAG